ATTCCAAACAAAGTTCCATATAGAATTACACCTATATTGGACTAGAATAAACCAAACATAAATAATTTGCATTTACAATAAATCTAAACTTGAAATACAAGCATTTCTTGATGTGAGAAATGACAGTAAACCAGCATAAAACTTTGAAGAAATTTGCGAAAACGCTTGTTGAAAGCTCTTACAATCATCATAAGATCCAAGCCAAGTATTGATTTGTTGCCTCAACCCCCTTCTTTGACAAACAATTTGCAAACTGATTACATGCTCTGTTAATATATCTGAACTCCACTTGACTCATTGGAGACTTTATGAAATCAAATTTGTTGAATCTTTTCTGTCAACGCCAAGACCGTTTTTGTTTTTTATAAAATCCAACAAAGAGCATTTCGGGAGTTAGATTGAATGATCAAAGGTTAAGACTTATATTCAGAAAACCAGTACAGTTCTATAGCAGAGAAAATAGAGTTCTATAGCAGAGAAAATAGCAATGAACTCTACCTCATTTGAATCCAAAATACCAAAGGAAAAAAAAGTACATTATATATTTACTCCTTTCATGAAACTATCACTTGAAATATTTGAGTTTACATATTCTAATTTTGTATATCAATTGGCCAATGTATAGAAGAAAGTGTTTTTGATGAGCAAATTAACGGTCTTGTCGCCTGAGTGAACCTATTGAACATCAATATCACCAATTTTTTTTTTTTTTTTTTTAAGATTATGAGTGAAGAAAAACCAAATATGCCATTTTTTCTAAAATACTAAATTTTAATTTTTTTGACTATTTAATTTACAATTTTTAGCATAAATATGCTAACAAAAATAACAATGTCATATTATTTATATATGTTTTTCAAAATAATAGTTTCAAATGCTAACAGTAAGCTTTATTATAATTTAAAATAACAATAACCTCATAAAAAATAACTTTAAAAATCATGTAAATTTATAAATTTTATTTGAACACTAAAGAATAAAAACGATTAAAGGAAATAAACTGGAAAAGAAGTAATTGACACAACAAAAAAGTCAAAATTATTGGACAAAAAAGTCAAAATTATTGGAAATTAACCTTTTTATTTATATAGTTTTACAAATTTTCATTGAGTAAATTAAATTATATAAAATTTAGGGTCTATTAGACAATATTAGCTATTTTAGTAGCTGTTAGCTATTGTATTAGTTGTTAACTGTTTTATTAGCTACTAGCTAATTTATATGACAGTTTAAATTAGAAGTGTTTGCTAAAAATAGTTGTTTAATCTAAAGAACAAAAAAAAAAAAGTTATTTAATTAGCTAAATTTAAAGGAAAAAATAGCCGGTGTGATTGTCCAAAAAAATTTAATTAAAAGCTAAATGTTAAACGTGAAAAACTAAACGTGCAAGAGTTTAACGTTTCATAGAAAGTTATCTCAACTCTCAACCTCTAATGCTATTATAAAAACTATATTACCGAATTTATAATTAATAGAGATAAAGTTTTGACTTAGACAAAATATTAAAAACTAGCTCAAAGCCTATTGTTGAGCAGGGCTTGAGTATGCATATAGCTTTTTTTTTTTTTTTCTTCTTTAGTGATTGTCCATTCTATTCCTGTAATTAGTATAGAAAATGAGTGCCAAGGACTAGTTGGAAGAGTCAAGACACACGTTAATAGAAAGAGACAAAAGTCACTAATTTATATGTATTTTCTTACTTCTAGACCACGCTATAAAAATCAGATTCAAAGTCTTACCGCGTTTGAGTTACATCAACGACTCTGAGGGTCTATATATATATGTATCATTTAGCTAGTAATTAGGTCCTTTTAAAAAAAAAAAGTTATAATATATAAAATAATTATAATAATAATATGTTTATGTAGTCACTAATGGACTTATGGCCCCCAACCCATGATATGTTCCATGATATGTTAATTTTGACCTCACCTACTTCATAATACGACTAAATATATTAATCAAAGCACTTTAGTTTGATTCAATTTGACCCTTTGTTGTTGGAAATTCAAACAAATTTTCCTAATTTTAAATTTTATACTCAAATTATTAATATGATGAGATATTGTTCTTCTTAGTAAGTGGGAATTGAAATGAACTGTATAATGAAAATAATTCTTATAGAATTTTCTCAATTTGTATAGAAATCAAATTCAAGATGTCTGAATAAAAATTTTAAGTATTAGAATCGAGAGATTGTTGAAGTCATTTTGAATATTACAAAATTTTGATTGAACTTTAATCAACATATGATTAAAATTGATAATTCATAAAAAAAATTTACAAACTAATTAACTATTATGACATTCAAATTTAATTAAAATCATTATTGATGAGTTTAAATTTAAAGTTAAAATTTGAAATTTTATTAATCAATTCCCTTGCTTTTAATTTGTAATTTTTCAATTCAATCCCTTCAATCAATGGTATATATTGATGAATTGATTAGGCATAATTTTTTTATTTCATAATAAACACTATCTATAAGAAATATTATGCTCACGCATAAAATTTGCCACATTTCAATTTACATACAAAATTAAAAAAAATAATTAAACCACCTCAATTTAAAAAAAATAATAATATTGCAAGTTATATTTTCCAAAGTGATATTTTCCAAAGTGATAGATAAAATATAATGAAAAAAAATCTAAAAAAGGACATAATTTAAAGGATAGAGAGATTGTTTTTTTGTAATAGGAAAAATTATACTCTTCCATCTCATAAAGATGAACTTACTTGCTCATGAGGAATGACGGAATTCATTTTCCCTTAATCAGAAATCTCGAATTCAAACTCTGAGTATGAAGTCTTTAAACAGTCCGGAGGGAGTGTTTTGCCACTTCTGTGGACCTACCTACCATAAATCCGGATTAATCGGACTGGTAAACTTTAAACACTGAATGGTTAAACAAAGAAAAAGATGAACTTACTTTCTTTTTTATTTAATCCAAATTATGTTTTGAAAATGAATTTAATTTTTTTAATTCTCTAATGCACTTTCTTGTACAAGTATACCTCTAATTTGGTATACATTATCATTAACAATTTTCTCATTTAATTATAAAGGCATATTAAGAAAAATATTGAAAAGATTTATTATAATTTTTTTAATAAGTGTGAAAATAAAAATAAGGCATGAATGGAGAATTTAAAATAGGCCTTGATTGGCCACTGAAATTGGCATTGGCATCATTTCCCATACTCGATCGAGAACCGAGAATTTGACCAACTCGTATTTCGTAGAGGCGTGTTGAGTGTTGACTGCTCGATTCGATTCCTCCTTAAACCTTCCGTGTGGGTCAACAAAAATCCCAAACCAAACCCAACAGCCACCCTTCCCTCTTACAAAACAGCCACCCTTCCCTCTTACAATTCCTTCTATTATTTTAAAGCAAAAGCAGCAATCCACAGTCTCACGCCTATATCAAAATAAAATAAAATAATCTACAAAAGTTCACGCCTAAATAACAAAAAAAAATATTAATTATTTAATTAGCTAAATTTAAAGGAAAAACAGTCATGTGATTGTAAAAAAAAAAAAAAAATTTAATTAAAAGCTAAATGTTAAACATGAAAAACTAAATGTTTCGGTGTTTAATGTTTCATAAAAAATTCTCTCAACTCTCAACCTCTAATGTTATTATAAAGATTATATTACGGATGCTATAGTTAATAGAAATAAAATTTTAACTCTAATGTTATTATAAAAATTATATTACAGAGGCTATAGTTAATAGAAATAAAATTTTAACTTATCAAAACACTAAAAATTAACTCAAAAAAAGCAAAAATATATATTTTTTTTTTCTTTTTTCTTTTTAGTGATTGTCCATTCTATTCATGACCCACTCGGTAATTGGTAAAGAAAATGAGCGCCAAAGATCAGTTAGAAGAGTCAAGACATACATTAATAGAAAGAGGCAAAAGTCACTAATTTATATGTATTTTCTAACTTCTAGACCACGCTATAAAAATCAGATTCAAAGTCTTACCGTGTTTGAGTTACATCAACTACTCTTAGGATCTATATAGAATGGAGAATAGAATTGTAATTCACATTCCATTATTCACTAATATAAATGACAGGAAAAATTTTATATAGAAAGGGAATTCATTGGACATGAAAAATTTTTAAGGAAGGGTCGAATTGATAGCAAAGTACTCTTTTTTTTTGTTTTTTTTTTTTTTACAAAAAAACCAAATACATTTTTCTTTTCAAAATAACAGATATGTTAAACTAGAAGAAAATGTAATATAATATAACAAAAGTCAAAGTCTTAGATTTCCTTAGAAATGTGGCTTGAATCTTCAAGGATTAGCTTAAATCTCCATGTGTGATAGTTAAATTTCAAGAAACCAAAGTTTAATTTATGTGTTTTCTTAGTAGAGAGTAGTGAAGCAAAAATGGGAGAAGGGAGAAAGAGAGTATTCGGTTAAGAGGAGAGGAGAAGAGGAAATGAGAGAAAGAAAGAAGAGAAAGGGAATGCGTAGTTGCAAAAGTGTCTATGGCATTTTTGTAATTACATAACAACTCAGCCACCAAGTTGTTCAATGGGTGGTTGAGATTAAGCCACATCTCCTTAGATCCAAACGCTATAATTAATTTCTGCCACTGTTTCCATAAATTATATTTAACTCAACATATCTTTTCATACTTATTCAATTACACTAATCTCTACACTTCCAAATTTCTAATTAAATCCTCAAAACATTATTCATAATAATTAATTAATCATAAGAAATTAAATGCATAGATAAAATTAAATGCATAGATATCAAAATTGGAATGTTGACTCGAAAGTCAACAGACTAAGTCTTTGCATGTATTTCGTATTTCTAACCGTAAGTTTTATATGTAGACTTACTTTTAGACTTATTTAGTTAGATGAAAAACAAAATTGAATTTCAAATATAATTAAAATTAACTGTAAAATTTAAACTTTTTTTTAGTAATTTAGCCTTTCATTTTAGACGATCCTTTTGCACGTTCAATGTCAGTCCTTTCATTCAATGTCATTTGACTAGAGTATTTACAATGTCCATTTTGACTACATTGCGTTGCAAACTTTGGTTGGTCCTTCTATCTCAAGTGTGAGGTTCCTTTATGTTTCTATCTCAAGTGTGAGGTTCCTTTATGTGTGGAAGCTTTACCTTGAACACTTGTTTTACAATGTGGAGCAGGGCGCAATGCTTTTCGGGAAGCGATTGGAGGTGAACTTTTCAAAGTATCCAAATATAACTCAAGGTGCTGACACACATGAATATGTGAACTCTAATCTCAATCGCTTCAATCGAAATGCTGCAAAGAACTATAAGTACTGTTGCTCACCAACAAAGATGATCCACCTTCCCACTCTCCCTCAAGACATAACAGAAGAGGAGATTGTTAGCCTCTTAGAGGAGCATGGCACTGTTGTCAACAGCAGGCTTTTTGAGATGAACGGTAAAAAACAAGCCCTTGTTTTATTTGAGACGAGGAGTGTTAGGAATCAGGCTGCTGATACCAGTTGTTTGGGCATCAGCTCTGATACCACTTATTGGGCCTTTCAACCAATAAAGAGAAATTAACGCACGCGGAAATAATCAACTGTGACACACAGAAATTTACGTGGTTACGCTTCAACTGTTTAGGGTTTAGGGCTACGTCCACGGGACAAACTCCGAATCATTCTTCCACTATTAAACAAATAGTAGGTACACAAAGAGAGCAATACAAAAATAGTGGCACACAACGTGTTTCCCAAAAACACCCCAAAATAATTTCCTTACTATTTTTATCTCCCCTAGTTTTAGGAAACTCATCCTAAAACTATAACACTCTCTCTCGCTACATTTTCTCTTTCTGCTGTATGCTTATGTGTGTTCTGCCTCTGCCTCTATTTATAGGCAGGTTAACGCGTAGGAATGCCATGTACAACTCCTGCCATGTACAACTTCTTCAAGTCACCGCTCATGTGCACCAATTCAAAGCCATCACTGTTTAACTGGCTGCTCCTATTTTTTTTCTTACTTTCACACATAACACGTTTTGCAGCCAACTTTGATTCCTTCTAAAAACGTGTGTTATTATTTTTGCTCCCTCGTAAAGGAGATTTTGCGTAATTTTTCCCAACAAGGAGCAGGCCACTGAAGCACTTGCTTGTAAGCATGCCACCTTGCTTGCCGGGTCAATAATCGGGATTTCCTTCTCTCAGCTACAATCAATTAGAGAAACCTCCTAAATATAATAAGGGAAAGGGTTGACAAATGGTAATACATTTTTAAGGATTTGTGGTAATACATTTTTAAGGATTTGGTACTCAGTAGATTTGTTGGTGATGCTCTTTTGCGATGCTTCTCTTCTCCTGTAACATTTCAATGCTTTGATACTGATGGATTGCTATTTTTTTTTTTGTTTTTTATTTTTCATTTATCGTTCTTCTCATTCTGCTAATATTTGTACCAATTATTTATTAGGTTTGTTGAATTTGAGGACTCTTTAAGTAGATCTTCCTTGTTTGCAGATATGCTCAGTTTTGAAGAGTAGGAAAGGGGGAGGGAATGTGTAATTTAATTGAATTCCTTTTCTAGTGGTGTTGAGAGAGATCGTTCTCCTTTGTGTCATTGCTGTATATTTGCCTGTAATTCTGGCTAATTGGACCTTTCTGTTATATTTTTAATCCATAACCCAAATTGTTCTCTTCCTCAAAGAGCTACTTTTTTTTTTCTTTCTCTCCCTCTGTTCACTTCGTTTCTGCTTCTTCCACTGCCTCTCTCTCTCTCTCTCTCCCTCTCTTCCTCGCCCTTCCCACTAGTGATGAAGTTAATTCAGTGGTTTCTGCCTCTTGCAAACATTATACTGGTATGATTTTAGTGGAAAAAATAAAAATACTAAATCGAGGATTTTTTATTGTTTTTCCTATTGAATTAAGTTTCTAGAAATCCAGTGACACCATTGTGTTATAAAACAATTTCAAAAAAACTCATATTATGAGTAAAAGAATTCATATTATTTTGGTAAAATTAGAGTCTGTTCGGTAAAATTAGTTATTTTGGTAGCTATTAATTGATTTAGTAGCATCATATTTTATAAAATGTTGATTTATATGAATTAATTTTTTATAAAATATTACCTTAATATTTAAAAGTTAGTGTAAATGTTATGGATTCTATATAATGTGATGTTTTTATCAAGGATCAGTTGTATTATAAGGTCTCAAATATCTTCTTTGATTAAATAGAAAATTAAATCTAATGTGATAAAAATAAAAGAATTTTGAATTTAAAAAATTTTATATTCTCTAATTAGAATTAGAAATTGATTTTATTAATTATATTTACTATATAATTAATACAATATTACAATTAACATAATGAATAATTTTTCTCACTTATGTAACTTATGTAAAAAATAGGTATTCGGTTCGAATTCTCTTGATCACAATAGTTTTAATTAATTTGATTACATTAGTTTTAATTAATTTGATGAGTTAGAAGGGAGTGTTATTGTGTAGCCCATAGTATCATTTCGACCCATTGGCCTCCCAACGAATTATAAAAATATTAACATAATAATAATAATATTATTATTAAATAATAAATAAATGATGTAAAGTATCTAATAAGGAATTTTCATTATCAGACTGTAGCAAATGGTACAAACAGTAATTAAACTCATTTGCACTGTTACGTTAGAAATAAAATTATATATCTATTGATATCCAGCAACCAGCCCCAATTAATGTTGCATCAGTGCCGCCAGATTCTAGTGTGAAGAAACAGAGCGGAAGAGCAAAAACCAAAGAGAAGAAAAGGAAGTTAGTACAATTCTAAAATTATTTATCATTTTAAAAAATATAGTATGAAGCATAGCTATTAAAGCCTAACTACTTAAATTTAAACAGGAAGAGTAAGGCTAAATCTTACCTTGATTTGCTGCAATTTCTTCATGTATATTACCGTTCTTACATAAATCCAATCTTTCAATTAATCCACGAACTTAAAAAAGGCATATCTATAAGAACGCTTTAATAGTAAAACGCCAGAAACACCCCAAAAGCCTACAGCGAATCCAACTCCAATACCAAGGTAAAGCGATTTGTTGAATTCATCTTCTTGATTATCATGATCATCATGACTGGATGGAGAATCTTGAATATTGTCTTCTGGACATTTTAATGAAAGAATTGACGATATAACAATTATAAACGAAAGAACCTTTTTTTCTCTAATTCTTATTGATGCAATTGGCGCTTTTCGGCGAAAAGAATCAATTTAAGATAGCCTTAGTAGCCTTTGTGGGAACCAGGCCGGTAAATATATATTTAGCCGACCAATCCCCCTGGTCAAAACACACCATAGCGTCCAAGGCAGAATTTCGTTGCTTTTCAAGGATTTCTTTCTTAAGGGTAGGGGACTTCAAGCTTATCCCGAAATAAAAGCTCGAAGCCTTCATCCATCCTGCTGTGAACGATGTCAGGGTCTACTCCAAGGTTACGCTGGATTATTGATCCATGCAGGAAGGTTTCCACAATGGATTGGGGTGAAGATTATTCACAGACCAAGAAGTAACCTTCCTCGTATCAGGATAGCCGTGGGACCCTTAACCTTCTTAGTGACTGACGTAGAAAATCTGTTTCTTTCTCTCAATGGGGATTGATTAGTGTTGGAAAAAAGAGTTTTATCATTTTTAATTTTATTTATATTTAATTTTATTTATTTTTTATATTTTTTTATTTGTGAAGGCATAAATAATAAATACTAATTGCGAATGCCAACGTTAGACTAGCCATCCACATAGCAATGTTTAACGAAGATCTCTCGCACGGAATATCATCACTGATAAGTTCTTTTATTTTTTATTTTTATTTTTATATAGGTATCGTCATAGGCATCGTCACTCCTAACTTCAAAAAGAGGATTGTGATATACATTATCCCACACTGGTAATTCACCTAGTGAAAGATAATCCCACCATACACTTTAGACTAGGTTTACAGGTTTTGGCCCATACATACACTGCAAACAAAACAGAATAAAACCAAACAAAGACTAGGCAACTTATACAAGTTAACTAACAACATAATTAAGTTAACAAAAGACATAGAACTTAATTAACTAACAAGAAACCAAACAAAGAAAACTTAGCATAGGAGTCTATCTCCAGTAGAGGATAGATAGATTTGTACTGTCAATAAAGATAATAGGCTTAATATAGAAAATAGATTATCTATAATTTCCTCTCATATTCAATATCCTAGATATCAATATATCTATTGTAATGCGTCAGACGTCAATTCTATTCTTCATCTATTTGATTTGTGTTGAATTCCAATTAATCTGAAATATCGAAAGGCAACTCCTTACTTTTTTACGATTCTAATTCAGATTTCCGATTATTTTTCAATATGAATCCCTGGCGTTTACCGAAAGAATAAATCAATGAAAAGGAAAACAAATATGAACCATATATTAATTTTAAATTAATAAAGAAATCAGAATCTTTTTTTAAGATTTGAAGAAGTAAATTGAAATTGATAGTTGGCAAGATGTCCCAAGGAAGGGAGTTCTATAAAAATTTTTTAAGTCTAAACCCACCCCACCGAAAAGGATAAGTAAACCTGCAACCGCCCGAACTCTTTATCCACTCTTTTATCGATATTGATGAGTCAAGTACTAACGGGCTCCAACCAATATTTAAAAATCATACAAAAATATAACCAAGCACTAAGCAAGAAAATTCTTAGTATACGTAGTATCCATTGGGAGACACGTATGTCTATGTCTATCTTATTTCGCATAGAAATTCATTAATTTAAATCACTTTTCATTTTTTAATAAAAGAGCTGCTTTTAAGAGCTACTTTTTCTTTATATCTTTAATAAAAGAACGGCTTTTCTTTTCTCTTTGAACAGGAAAGAGGTAAACAAAAACAAAGAAAAAAGATTGAAAAAATTTCCTATCATTTGTATCCTTTTTACTTTCGAAATATGAAACACGAGATCGTTGAAATTTTTTTTTTTGATTTTAAAAGGGTATTATTCATATATTAATTATTTATATTAATTATTTATAGAATACATTACTTCACTAAAATCCAATAGAATTTGGAAATGAAGATATTTTTAATTCAATTTCTAAATTTGTATTTGTAAGAATTTAGAAATTGAATTAAATAATTAAATAATTGAATTTAATTCAATTTAAACAGTTAAATTAAAAATCTTTGCAGAATGATCTATAAAACAATCGATACAGTTTGATTTCTCAACTCAATTAGTAGTACTCCTAGAGTCCACTTCTTCCCCATACTACGAGTGAAAGGGAAAATGTAAAGACTACCATTAAAGCAGCCCAAGCGAGACTTACTATATCCTTATCCATGGAATTATGTCCTCTAATCTTATGAATATGAAGGATTTTTCCATTATTGTTCACTAATAAATAGTGAATTGCTGGGCAGAGTCAAAAAA